AACGCAAAATACGGATAAGTTAATAATTTATAATAAGTTTTAAAAATATTATACAAAGACAATCACCAGGAATAACCGGGGGACTTCCTCTGGTTCCGTAAGCAAGATGAGAAGGAATGATCAATTTACGTTTTTCGCCGATACACATTCTTTATTTAAATGCAAAACAGTTTTAATAACTTTAAAATTGATAAATTTTTTTTTAACCAGAGTAAAGATTTGTAAATACACACCCTCTCAAACCTTGATCCCAACCTTTAATAACTTGTCCAACGCCTTAATCGGCATCAAAGTGTTCACATCAAATTAGAATGGATTAACATAATATATAATACAAAAAATTTAAAAAAAATTTTGTTTTTTTTTTACCTAAAGTGAAAGTAAAAGGTTCACCACGAGGAAGACTAGAATCGAATTCTTTTCCATCTTCGAATAGAAAACCTGTGTAATGAACGGATATTGAGTCGCTGATGTGACGTAACATAAAGTGATGAAATCAAAAAAACGAATATATAAAAGAATAAAAAGTTAATTTATATTCTGAAGGAATAAACTCTGAACAAGAATAGTAAGCCTTTACCCATCCTTGGTCATTTTATAGCAGGAACCTTCAGGTATACGATATTTAATTCCTATTTTGAAATATCAAGATTGTGTTGGTCGAGGTTCTCAAGCTTTTAAAAATCATATCAAACCAAGTAAAAATAACATACCAATTTGCAAGGTCGCAGGAGGTTCTTTAGCATTAACATCCCGAATATTAAAAGTTGAGCAAATAATAGTTAAAAACCAAAGGAAGGTTACAATTTGACGCATTTTTTTAGAATATTATTGAGAAGCGCTTAGACTAGATGTTTCAGAAGAATTTAATTGATAAGCGCAAAATAATTGATTTTAATGGCCAATCAACCCGACCTTACCTTTTTCGCAAAATAATTAGTCTGGGATTCATGTGATTTACGTACCATGATGTTACAAAAAATTTATTCAATCGCTTGTAAAAGGAAAAAGTTAGATTGACCTTGGATTGAACTGGTAAAACGATAAAATTTTATGTAGAAAAAGGCGATTTTTGCCTTTTATACGTAAGTGATAACATTCGAACATTAAAAATAACTGGAATTTCATACTGTAATATACATCGATATCAAGATATATATATATATATACTTTTCAGTAAACTTCTTACAACTCTATATCCGAATTTTTGGATAAACTTAGTACGTATGCAAGTTGGAGTGTACAAGCCATAAAAAGTAATAAACATTTATTTTCAATGGAGAGCACTATTACATTTAATTTATAAGAAAAATCGGACCATTTATATGCATAATACAATATTTATTTATATGTTTCGAACGTTATTTACGCATAAAAATATGTAGTCCCTTATATCGATATCAAACGCATTAACCAATCGCTTATAATTTTAGTTCGAGGTGACCAAACGGAATTTGACGAGATTTATTCCTCAGGATTATTTGTCGACGCAAAGAATAACACATGAGTAAGTTTAACAAATATTTCTATGAATTATTTAGAACTTGACGTAAGAAACGGTACACTAATATAATTCGTGTGACATACTAAGTTTAGTCAACGCGTCTGTCTCAAGGATCGAACCGTAGAAAATATAACCAACAGCATTCAACCTTTCAATGAGAGTAGATCCAAAGTCTTACAATGCAAAATTTGCATAAAGGATGCAAAATTCGCATAGAGGATGAGATCCATCCATCCCATCACTTTTATTTCATCATTCGTTAAAAACATATACATTTATTTGCAAAATAATTGTTCATTTCTTTCATTTCCTTGTATTTCACCACATAAAACAAACAATAGAAATCCCTGATAACTTTCTATTAACACATGGAGGTTGGTCTTAACAATATATATATATAGCAAAACCCAAAGCCAATTGTATAATAATTTCAAAGAAATTGTAAAAAAAAAAAAAATCCTTCAAAGACGCATTTCAATGAAGAATCTCAAAAAAATTTTGTTTTGTTTGTTCATTTTCTTAAATTCAATGACAATATATTGTTCATTAAATAGTAAGTTCTCAATTTCTTACCATGACTATCGAATGTTCGGTCGCAAAGTAAGTAAATAATAATAATAATAATTCCATAAATCTCTTACATAGAATGCGTTGATTTAATAAACGATTGTGAAAGAAGTTATAAAAACAAAAATTTATTGCTAGTAAAAAACATATACGATCCAAATACTTTTACTGTAAATTGTCAATGCGATAATGTTCCAAGTAAGCTCATCGAGTATGCGCAACTTTTAGGCGCGATTAATCATACGTGTTTTATCATTCTGACAATTATTATATATCAGATTTAAAATTAAGAGACGTACCATCTGCCCTACCTGCTCAACCAACACCTCCAGCGCCACCGACTGGACCAACTGGGCCAACTGGACCGACCGGACCAGTGGGACCAGTAAGTTTGCTTTTTACTGTTTAAATAATTTCTTTGTGCAATAATCTTTAAGTGCGCTGTATCATTCTTAAAATTTATTAATTCATAAAGGTAGGGCCTTCTGGTCCTTCAAATAATGACGGTAATGTCACAGCAGGAACTCCAGGTACTGCAGGAACACCTGGACAACCAGGTGAGAAAGAAAATAATATATGATCTTTGCTAGAAAATTCTGAGCTCACTAATCATCTAATAATCTGATTTGGATGATTCCTTTTTTTGTAAAGCTTAATAGACCCTACAAAAAGAATCATCCAAATCAGATTATTAAATGACAATTTACTTAACCCGAGAATCTACTTCCTAGCAAAGCTCCCACATATGTGTGTATATAATGATTTTCTTTATAGCATATATATGGTATATAATGTATTATATTAAACTTTAGGCAAGCCTGGAATGAATGGAAGTAATAATCCTAGTGATGGTGTAAACGATGGGTCAGGAACGCCCACGAATTCTGATCATAATTCTAATCCTAACTCTAATCCTAACTCTAATCCTAATTCTAATCCTATTCCTAACCCAAAACCTAAATCCAATCCAAGTTCTCCTTCAACACCACAAAGTATGGAAATTCTTGTTAATATTATACCAAGATAGATATACAGTAGATATATATATATATAGTTATTATTTATTCATAACTGTATAATTCTTTACATTTATATAGGCACGTCAAATTCAATGTCAACATCACCTATTTCACCTCCTCATCCATCAACAACAAACGCCTCTAGTCAATCCGATGATCGTAGTGGTATAAAAATAGCCGCAGGAATTATAGGTTCAATAATCTCATTACTCATTGCTGCAGGAATAATAATATATTATCGTCGTAAACGTCAAAGGTCCAAAGAAAATTCTGCTGAGTTATCCATAAAGGATGGATCTGATATGATCTCAAATGTTGCTATGGCTGCAAAAAGTATTGAAGATAATCATAGTGCATTAAGTAATATAATGGTAACAAAAGTAAGCAGTGTTAGAGTTTTTCATGATACTGATGATTATAGTGGTAGAAATTCAAGTACTACAATCGGTTTGATTTCTACTGGTGGTGCTGATGATGGTGATGATAAAAATTCACTTTCTGAATACGATCAAAATTGGATTTAATGAACTGTCTTTTGTTCACAGAAAAAAAAATTCTCCGGGTTG